TACTGTTTATAAGATTGGGGAAACCTGCAGTCAGCTGAGACTGAAGAAGTCACTTGGATGAGTGACGAAACGTTTCTCCCAGAAAACGCTACGTCCAGATGAACAGAATCAACTTTTGGAGATTTATTTTCCTGGATGATTGAGAATGCATCAAGACATCTATTCTAGTTATGTGTTTATAGGACCTTTTTTATTTTACAATGGCAGTAATGGTCTTTGCATATGTGCAAATTGGCATGTCAACTTAAAGACAAAATAATGTTGTATTTTATGGGTCAGTTTACTGAAACTTTCCTCATAATTTTCCTAAAAACGTGCAAAAATTGCAAAGATATTTCCCAAGAGAAGTCAACGTGGTGCTGCTGTGGTTAGCGCTTTTCCTGTTTTGGAATGAGTTCTTTACACGCACTCTGGGCTTCCTCCCACTGTCAAAAGACATCCTCGTTAGGTTAGCTGGGTATTCTTAATTGGCTATAGGTGTAAATGGTTGTCTGTCTCGATGTGATTGGCGGCCTGTCCGGGGAATAAGCTCCAGCCCGACTACAACCCTGAATTGGATAAAATGAAGAAAATAGAAGGATGGGTTTCCAGAAAACAATGGTTACTGTAACACTTTATTCCCTTGTTGCCTGAGCCGTCATTCGCTGTCAGCTGCAGATGTTCATGTTGTTTTTTTCTGTGTCTCGCAGAGATGTAGCGTGTGTGTTGGTGTGATCGGCGGACCATCATGCACCTCTTCTTGCTGCTGATCCTTCAAGCTACAGCAGCCATCGGACAGATTGATCCCGGTACACAGGCGCACACACACAAACCCCATTTTACCCCATCTTGATTTGAAATCTAAATCCGTCCTCTGCAACGAGACAATTTAAACAGTTACAATGTTTCATTTGTAAAGGTCTAAAATCCGTCCTTGCAAAACACATAAAAATAAAATTGTGAATGTGTTTTCCCAGCACACTGTCGCTACCCCTTGGGCATGGAGGATGGACGGATCAAAGATGATGCGCTCAAAGCATCCAGCCAATGGCACGAAACAACAGGACCACAGTACGCCAGGTCAGTGTGGCTTAAAGATTAAGTCGAGTGGTTTTAAAAAAAGTGTCTTTTATTGTTTTTAACTCTTGAATAAAGAAAAAAAGAAACCTGAAATGGAATTGTGAGATACAAAATCGATTAAATATGCTTTAGAATGAAGTCAAATTAAAATGTGAAGATTTTAGAACTCCATCTTTTAGTTAAACTTGTGCAAGTGTGGTTTATGTGTTTGTGTTTGTGTGTTTGTGTGCAGGTTGAATCGTGAGGAGGGAGACGGCGCCTGGTGTCCTGCAGCGCTGCCATCAGTCAGTCAGTACCTCGAGGTTTGTGTCTGAAGCGTGCTCAGTCATGTCCGGGTACCTGCATTTGTTATATGGCTAAGTTCTACTCCATAAGTAAGAAGGTGTCGTGCATGCAGGAGAAAGTGGCGCTGCGCAGTCAGTGTAACATGAGAACGGGTGAAAAGATCACAGTGGATCAGAATCTGAGGTTTCAGAGTGTAACACAATATTTAAGTGCTTTGCAAAGCAGCTAAATTCAGTACATTCTGATTTAAAGGTGAAGTCTGTGTGTGGTCTACAAAGTTATTCTTTGGATAAATCTAGGAGCTCATGTGTTTCCCAGATAAGGCTGTGTTATTACAAACTGGCATATAAACCTAAATCTGTGTGTAACAGCTGACTTGTGGGACGAGTGGAACACAAAGAAATACGTACCTTCAGAACTGAGCGATCTTTTAATAAAGTTGGTGGTATCGATACTGCGCCACATGTGTGAACGCTGCAGTGTGAAGCTGTAGGTATTTAAATATCAAAGGAGAGAATCTGAGTCACAGTCATCTGTGGACATCAAAGACTGTATAAAATCCTCAGTGGCACATCAGCTGCATATTTATGTGATTCAGACACTCTTACACTTCACATCTGTTTAAGTCGCTTTAATATCTGTATATTGACATACGTTTAATATGTTAAAATGAGGAAAGTAATTAAAAAATCTAAAACCTGAAAATAATTTTGTGATGTTGCAGAGGTTTTTGTGTGCACACTGTTGAGTAAAGGCACACAGAGCATCTTTAGTTTATGGGCTGATTTCTGTAGAAATGCAACAAAAATCCTGAGATGCTGCAAACACTCAGCTCACGATAAAAACCAACTTTGAAGCCTGTTATAGATCTCTGACTCGAATGCATCTCGTATTTGGAAGCTGCATGCCTCTTGACATTAAAATTGCAGGATTAACAACCAGATGTGTGGACGGCTTGCCTCTATACTTTTGGGGTGAACCATTTTCCCACGTTAATGATACAATATTATCTTTAAATGCAGCCTTTGGTTTTTAGGTTACTCGCATGTGTCATGATTTGACCGAAAGCCTTTTGCTGGAATTTTCTTTTTAGGTGGATCTTGGCAGACTCACCTTTCTGACGGTTATTGGTACTCAGGGACGATATATCAGGAACTCTGGGAATGAGTTTGCCCGAGAGTATCGCGTAAACTACAGCAGGGACGGCAAGCTGTGGAAGTCCTGGAGGAATCGGCAGGGGAACGAGGTGAGTGACCCAAATATCTTACAAAAAGGACTTGATGAGAGGAGAGAGGAAACAGACTGAAAAATGGGACATGAGAAGGGTCTGAGCCGAAGGAAGAATAGGAGGAAATACGTGAGGACTGATGGAGGGAAGACTGGAGAAAGAG